CGGCTCACAAAATGCAGAATAAAAACAATTAATATCAAATGACAATTTACAGCATTTACACAGAACAAAGTAGATAAAAATAGAGGAAAAAGAGAAGGCACGGCCTCTGCCTTGGCGACCGTAGAGAAGAAAGAAGCCTCTGGAATGTGGAAGGGTTGCAAGAAGTTCTGAATTTCCTGGATGGAAGAGAGTGCAAAGAAAGGGAGAAAACGAGGCTCTCCCTCTGCCAGCCTGTTTTCAATAGCTAATCAAAAAAAAGCAACAATATTGGCCCGGATAAAGGTCACGCTCAGTGGCCAGGTAGAGAAATCAGGCATAGGAAAAACAAAGAACAATAAAACTTTGTGTGCACATTTCAGGCTAACATATTTCAGTTGTGAGCATTTGTGGACCAAAATCCTTTTCATGATGGTAATTCATGAAAGCTCACAACATTAAGGACTGGAGTTTTGCCCTGGGACAAGCTTTTGTATGTTTGTTCCTGTAGATACACAAGGTTTTAAGTCACAGATGTACAGTATGTACACACCGGTTCTAGTTATGGGGGAGGGAAAGGCTGAAAGGAGATACTGTACAGAAAGTGACAATTGCAGTGGTAACCCTGGTCATAAACTTTCAAAGGGCTGGTTAGGATTGAATAATAATTGTGTGCTTTCAGGTCAATTCCCTTATCAGACTTTTTTTGGATGCACAGAAGGGATTTATCATCGCCTTCTTCTGTGGGGTGGGGGTGCTCTGGGACTGTGCCGGTTGCCCAAGGCTACACAGGCTGGCTCTTCTGGGATGCATAGTGGGAAATTGAACTCCCAACTATCCCTAACTCACTGAGCTATCCAGCCAGCTGGTCAGCAGACAGACCCTGTCAACGATCAGGTCAGTAGCACTAGTCAATTACCTTTCCGGTGTTAAATCAAGAGGCAGAGTCTCTGTTTTATCTGAAGGCAGAATTGACCAGCTTTGCCTCCAAGACTCAAGATGTTCTGTGGCTTTTGAGTCAAGGTCCTTGAGCAAAGAATCTTAAAAAACAGATTTCAGGAGGTAACAACTGAACAAGAATACGAGGTTCAGCTCAACTGCTCCTTCCTTCCTTCCTTCCTTCCTTCCTTCCTTCCTTCCTTCCTTCCTTCCTTCCTTCCTTCCTCTGGGCTGAAATGAAGATAGCTGGCTGGCTGTTTGTTTGTTTGTTTTCCTTTTAAATTCCATTATATATTTATTAATGAGCTCACCCATGCAAATGCTCCTCTTTGTCTGCATTCCCACCCAACCGCACATAGCCTGACCATTTCCCCCAACAGGCGCATGAGACAACCCTGTGTTGTGCTCTGTGCAGCTGGAGACGTGGTTGACATCCAGGAAATTCCAGGCCTAATTGAGCTTTTTGGTGCCACGGGGCCACGAGACTCCTTTTTCCCTATAATGCAGCTGCCTCCCTGGAAAGTGACAGTGGCCTCGCATGACATTTGGCAAAGTCTACTGGAAAGAAGACGATACAAAGATCCTCCGTCTCACAAACAAACATTTGTTTAATTAAACTTGCTTTGGCTGCCTTTTAAGTCTCTAACAATCAGCCAGAGTTATTCTCCCAGGATAGACTTTTAGTTTCTGACAGTGATGAATTTTTACCTGCTCTTTTAATTTCTCAGTGTTATTTTATTGTTTGTTTGTATTGGCTTTGCTTTATTGAGGTGAGCTGCCTTGAGAATATTTATATCGAAAGATAGCATACAAATGAACGTCTGCTAAACAAAACTAATTAACTAACACTACAGAATCAATGGCAGTTTCACATCACCTTCAATACATTTCGTTACAGACATGCATTTGACACCAAGGGTGATATCATCCACCGTTGTGGGGTGGGAAATATAGATCCTTGCTTCTCTCATTCATGTGCACAGGAATGAGAAAGCACTTTTTTTCTCTTCACCTGTGAGAAAGTGAGATGTTTCATGTCAGTACTGGTGCGAGTTCTGTTCCTATTTGCAACAGCTGGTGTAAATTGCACCACTGGTGTGGGCTGCACGAAACCGCAATAGCCGCCACCTTGTTGCATGACCTTTTAAACCCTTGAAGCATCAGATGGGTTGTTTGTGTCACAGAAGGGACAGCGTAAATTGCACCACTGGTGCGGGCTGCACCAAACCGCAATAAACCCTTGAAGCATCGGATGGGTTGTTTGTGTCACAGAAGGGACAGCCACTCATTTTGCCCAGAGACATTTTGGCCAGATGGCGGGAGACATCCTTGTCTCTCATTCTCATTAGAACTGCTGTCTCAACTAAGATATTCCAGCAGAATATCCAAAAGGAGAGAGAGGAAGGGATGAGACAAGGAAGGAGCTGCAGTAGGACAGATCCAAACCTCCTTGAGCCCAGGGACCCCGATCCTTAAAAACACCTTAGCATCTATCTGTAAGAGAATGGGATAAAACATGAAGAATTCCAGTGAAAATGTGTTCCAAAACGTCAATTCAAAGTAATACTTGGAAATTTGGCAAGTAATCCACCAGGAACGCAGGCAGAGCCAGCTCTGAAGAGGAAGTGATGAGACAAGGAAGGAGCTGCAGAAGGACAGATCCAAACCTCCTTGAGCCTGGGAACCCCGATCCTTAAAAACACCTTAACATCAATAAGAGAATGGGATAAAATATGAAGAATTCCAGTGAAAATGCTTTCCAAAACGTCAATTCAAAGTAATACTGGAAATATGGCAAGTAACCCACCAGGAACGCAGGCAGAGCCAGCTCTGGAGAATTCTTTGCCCCCACATCATGTCTTCCCAAGGGAAAGAAGGTTGGCTGCAGGGCACCCCAAATCTTATGATTTGCAAGGGATGCTGGCTGGGGTCACATCACCCCTTGAAATGTTGCTGTGCATTACCTTGGCATGGCCGTGTACCTTGGGCTATAAATGTTCCGTCGTAATCGCTGCAACACTCTTAGACAAATAAACAGCACTTTTAAAAGAAACCTCTGTGTCAGCATAAATTCAAGGGACCAATCGTTAGCAACCCAAGGGACATGAGCCACCACCACAAGAACTCTGCTTGCTGAGCTTGTACAAGGAAGTGGTTTAATTATTGGCAAATGTACAGCATGGGTCTTCCTTTTAGAATCTTGCTAGTTAAGCAGAAGTTAATCTATTTTCAGATTCAGTGGCATCAGCCAGAAACATAGCAGCCTGCACTTCCCAACAAACAAACACACCCTAAACCACAAACTTGAATTTCTTTGCCGTTGCTGTTGTTCGGGCCTGTGGTGGCAACTCTCTCTCTCTCTCTCTCTCTCTCTCTCCACCACTGGCTTGAGAGTTCTGTCTTACTCTCCTGGTAAGCCCATGCCAAGGAGGCACAACGGGGAATCGAACTCCCAAACTTTTGCTCCACAGCCAGAGATCTAATGCATTGAGGTATTAGTATTTGAGTTCATTTACAAGTGGAGCTGGAGGCAACCGGATTCAATGTTCCATGGCAGCAGAATGCAAGATGGGGCCCTCCCTACTGCAGAGTCGTGATCCAAGCAGGGAAACACCTCACCCAGAAATTTTAGTGTGAACCACATTTCTGCTCTGGCTGTGAACCGCCTCTCCTGCACTTTCTGTTTTCCCTCAGTGAAGGAAAAGATATATACATGCCTTCGCTCAAATGCTGCTCCTAGACTTTGGAACTCCCTCCCACTGGAGGCCAGGCGGGACCCATCTTTGCTGTCCTCCTGCAAGCAAGCAAATACCTTTTTCTCTTCAGGCAGGCATAATCTAGTGACTGTATGTCTAAGAAGGTTTTTTTTTTAAAGTGGAATGTGTGTACATTTGTTGCTTCTAAATGTGTTCTTGGTACAGTTTTTAATCATCCACTTTTACTATGATAGTTTAATTCTTTTTAATACTGTAATCATTTATTTTATTTTATTTTTTGCTTTTAATACGGTAAG